AAATTTCCCTTAGAAGGGATTCATAGAAGATGTTGTGCCTGGTAGAAGGAAGATGAGCCCATGGCCATGCAGGCTGGGATATTTCAGGCCTCAGAGCACAGTAATTCGCTGCTCTCTTCCAACATACACTTTGCTCTCTCAGATTTGAGTCGCTGCTATGAGGTTCTGCTAATGCTCAGAGTTCATGTTGTCCTTGTGAGCACGTTAGAGACGGATCCTTGATCCACAAACTGACACTTTAACTGACAGAATATAAACTGCCTGGAGAGGTTTACTTTTACTGCCAATACGGTGTTATTCAATGTCTTTTTTTTTTTCTTTTTAACCATATGTCATTTGTTTCGGTATTGTGAGATCTGTACTTTTTTCTTTTAAGTATTTTTCAAACATATATATTTTTGTGTCACTTTTAAATTGTTTTCATAAGATTTGCAAAACTTGACAAATTATACTTTTTTGCAGTCATTTGAAATGTATTTTTCTCTTATTTCTGTTTCCTAAGAATGTGCGTCCCTATGAGCTTTGAGATGGTGATGCTTATTTCAAGATCTGTTTTCTGTGTAACATTTGCTTATCTTCCTTCTAGATGCAAAACAAAGAGGGGCTGCAGATACAGCCTTGGTTGTTAGGGGAGTCAGGCTTTGTTCTTTAATTCCCCATTTAGTGCTGCTGTCCTTGGGAAGTTGTTTCACATGGCAGTGCCACCCACCACATCTGCTTCCTTTCCAATGCCCATATAGTGATAGCTCCTGCCACTAAAATCTTGAACTGACTGACAAAAAGCACTCAAGATTCTGACTGTGTTGGCAAGGTGTGAGTAAAGCAGAAGGGGACACGTGACAGATGTGAGGTATCAGAAAGCCTTGTCCCCAGAAAGTAGCTGCCACACTGGGGAGACAGTGGAGCTGAGGAACTCCCATCACATCTGGAGCAGATCCCAGCCATTCCTGTCCCTGCAATCCAAGCCAAGCAGCTGGGCTCTACTCTGAGATTTTGCCACAACTACATCAAGGCTAATGAACAACCAATGGCTTGGTTTTATCTGCCTTGAGACCCCGAGGGTTTGGGTTTTCCAAACCAGTGCTTCCACAAGTTGAGCAGTTACTGGAATCTCACCTGCTGCATCCCAAACTAACAAGATCCATACTACATCAAAGCTGTTTCACACTGTAAAGGTAACCTCTGTGCTCACTGCTCACAGACCCTCAGCAAGCTGTACCTCAGCCCAAATCAGGATAAAAAGATTTTCCCAGCAATAAAGAGATAAGTGGAACCAGGCCAGACTGTCAGAAAAGCTCAGCTTGCTGAAATCTGTCACCTATCCCAGGGGAAAGAGGGAACTCTAACTGGGCTGTTGTAGAAAGCCTCATGAAAGATTTTGAGTCAGGCCACCAGCAAGGAAAATGCCTAAGGCAGCACATTAAAAGGAGTAACACCCCTGTTAGAGTAACATGAGCTTTGCCTACAAGCCTCAGTGTCTTCAAGATTTTGTGAGCCGAAAAATAACATTTTCCCTTCAGTAAGAAGCAAAGAGGGAAAAGTATCCTCTGAGCACCAGAGCACAATCAAACAATTCCTGTAACTGGAAGTCTGAAACTAGTTTGGGCCTCAGTTTCCCTAACTGAAACTGAGTAACCAACTGAAGGCATAATGCATGACCTGAAAATGTTTTTTGGTGGCAAGGATTTAACTGGTGCCATAGATCCAGAGCTGAGGACAGAACAGGAGAGTTGCCCACAGACATCATATCAATGTTCTGCAAAGGAAGGGAGGGCAAAGTGGCAGATTTTTTTATGAAGGTTTAATATAAAAGGGGAAGTTGGATACTCTGAAATGCTTGACTGCTCCAGGGATGCCTCTCAGGCCTTCCAGCTTTGCTGGATCAAAGGAACAAGCCAGGAAACTCCACACAAAATTATACAGCCAGTGACTAACCCTGCTCAGAGAACCAGAATGGGGTTCTGTTTTTCAAATGAAAGTCCAGCTGGAGAGAAGTTCACAGCATGTAAGGATATTGCAGAGGGGCTCCTTGTGCTCAGTAGCCATTGGCCGACTCAGACTCTTCATGTTTTCGCTACTACATTTCCTTTAATATTCCAAAGCTTGGCAAGCAGAGCACGAACACGACTAGGTCCCTGCAGAGACTGCCAACAAAGGAACCCTCTAACTGAACTGTGTGTGGTTTCCTTCCTGGCTGGAGGCTGCCCTGTCCTCCAGTGGCCCTTGTCAGTGACCCAGCAGTGCCAGGTGTCCATGTTCTCTGGAGCGGATAAGAGCAAACGGGTGAGCAACTTCCCACCAGTGCTTCCATTTTACAAGATCTGTGGGAGGAATTGCTCATAAGGATTGGCATCTACTTGGGTGGTGTTTAACACCCAGACGCACCAGACTTTCTCATCTAGTCCAAGCCAAGAAAGTTTAGCACTGGTACTTGTGGCAATCAGAACACTGCAGATAATTCATCTGCACCACGGCTGCTGTTTCCCTGCACTTTCCTACTGAAACGATTATCTTCAGCACTGAATCCTACCCAGCTTGTCACCTTGGCTGGGCTTCTGCTGCTGTCACTCTGGTCTCTGCAAAAGATGAGTGGGAAGAAAAGTCTTGGAGCTGTGAGTCAATTCCCTCTCATTACCTGAAGAAGGCAATTTATTACCAGTAGGGCAAGAGCTAGAGGGCTCTGCAGTCAGGGACTATCCATAGAAAAGACATTTCCTTGAAACTGTTTAGGGAGGAGTCTGCCACAGCTCAGGTGTTAGAGGACAGCTTGTGCTGGAAAAAGAGAATTAGAAGTAGGGAAACAGCTGGTCTCCATGACAACCATGTATGTGTATGAAGCACAGAGGGCAACAGTCATCAGGAATGGATGAAAAGCAGCATGAGGGCTGAAGGAGAAGAGAGCACTTAAGGAATGAGGGAGATACTCTGCTGAACTGAAACACTTCTGCTTTAGCAGACTGTTTTGATTTCATATAACTGTCAGTGATTCTCTCTGTAACTGTTTTCTTGTTTTAAAAAAAGTTTTTAAGCTAACTAAATACGTATTTCCTTGTTTTGCAATGAAATTACCCTCAGTTATAATGAAAAAGTGTCTCCTTTTACTCTGTCCATGGACCTGCCTGATGCTGAGGCCTGGTTCAAATGTTTGTACCTGGTGAAACTGAGGAAAAAAAAAATCAAAATGCACAACTGTTGCTTCCTTACAATTCTGAATGAATTAACTTTTCTGTTGTATCCATTGGATACCCACAGTGTATTAAACCTAGTGCTCAAGAGTGTCTTCTTCCTTTGTTCTATGAATGTGGTTTATTTAGGTACATTACTGGTCCATTTGCTGTCATATATTTAATTAAAAATGAAAGGAACTGCCATGTGTTGATGATGCTGTTGAGTGCCTTTGCCTTTCATCACTCCAAAAGACACAATACTGCTTGTCAGCAGAAGAAAGCCTTGGAGAACGAGAGCATTGTTAGGAAATTGTGTGAGAGGAGAAAAAAATCAGGACAACATTTGAATGTCCAGATTGCTTTGAACCCTGTAACATATCTGCAGCTCACACTCCACAGCCTGCCTTTTGTAAGGGGCAGGATCTGAGCACTTAAGAAAAGCCAATCTGCTTTAAGGCCAGCCTGCCTTTCTTCTTAAGACCTTGGTCCTGGAAGGGCTCAGTGCCAGTTAATTCAGTGGTCACTATGGAGTCTGTAAAGGAGCAAGGTGAACAGGATGGGAGGAGCATTTGTGTGAAACTGAACTGCCTCTGAAAACATGAAGTGTTGTAAGAGTACAGAGAGATACCTTAGCCTTCCAGTAGCATGGAATTCTGAGCTGGAATGCCATAGGAACCAAGATTCTCCACTCAGAAACCTACTAGAAGAGACTTTCTGTAACTAAGCCTAATTTCAACCAGTCACTGAGGCTGGAACCCTTGAGACAAGAGATAAGCTCTGATCTCTGCAATAAAGGTTTTAAAGCTGAAGGAAAAGATAAAAAGAGTAACATGCACCAACTTATTTTAATCACAAAAAGAGTGAAAATACATTCCTTAAGACAGATTATTCTAGGGTATCAAAATGTTTCTACTTTTGAGTGAAATTGCTTTCATTAAGCTTTAAAATTTACACCTCTCTGTGAAGAAGGAAAGACACAACCTCCTTTTTCCAGACACCAGCAGGTGGCCACTGACTCATGTGAAGAGACTAAAATAATCAATTTGTGGGCAAACAATATTAAGGAATCCACTACCAGGTGCTGGAGAGTAAATTTATAAAGAATATTATATTTCTATATTTTAAATTTTTATTGGGAAAGAAGGTAACAAAAGCTGCAAGGTATATCTATGTTAAAACTGAAGAGTTTAAAGAGAAAGCACTGATTATGGAACTTTTACAGATCTGGAGTTTAAAGAGAAAGCACTGATTATGGAACTTTTACAGATCTGTTATGACATTCATTTCCCTTAGACATTCAAAGTGTACATATATATGTGCTATAGTCACCTCTGTGTTTTGGTTTTTTTTATTGTTAGCAAGAGACAAAAACCATCTCAGGTGCAATTCAATTGTTTCTGCTGTCTGTTCCATATAGAAGTCTATATATACCTGCTTCCCTCAGCAGCCCTCGGGAAGGTTCAGTGACCTCGCCCAGACAGGAACCTCTTGACTGCAGACATTTCAGCCAGATCAAATCCCTCCTCGAGTTATGTCAGACATTCTCCAGGCTCTGGTTAATGGGGCCGTGTAGCTGCTTCCAGCCGGGCACAGCCTCTCTGCGCTTCTTCCCGGGGGCTGGAAACGAGCACATGGAATAACCACGTTAGGGAGAGCAGGGTTAACGCAGTGCAGCACCTCGGGAACCAGCCCGAGGAGCCTTTGAACAGCACCCGCTGTCCGAGCGATCGCTGCCAGACCCTTCCACAGCTCTGTACACCCAGCAGTGTCTGCCCCGCTGTACCGGAGGTTCTGAGCAGCCTGCCCAGCCCCGCGCTCCAGAGCCCGGGCTGAGGGCGAGCGGACACAGGGGACGGCTCAGGGCAAACACATTCCCCAGGAAAGGCCTCGCAGGACACAACAACGCCGGAGCGGTCTGGGGGACAAAAGGAGCCAGGTGAGCCCGGTTCACGGTGTGTCAGGCCCACGCAGGGCAGTGGAAGGAGCCCAACATCGCAGCGGAGCCACCCCCGCAGGGCTGGGCCGCCCTGGCCCCGCCTC